GATCTCCCGACCTCGTGATCCGCCCGCCTCGGCCTCCCAAAGTGCTAGGATTACAGGCATGAGCCACCGTGCCCGGCCGCAAAATCTTCTTAAACTTCCCAACTCCTATAACACCCCACATAGCAGGTACTCATTAAACATTGCTTGACTGATCGCGGTGGGACTTGAGAGAAGACTGAAGTCATCAAGAGATGGTTTGTGAGAAAAGAGAATCTGAGATGGTTTTTCAAGCATTTAGTTGAGGAAAGGGGAGCAGGGCTTCCACGTAAGGAGAGCAACGTGTATTGGTAAGCTAAGAACATCAGACTGAGCAGAGGAGAAAAACGTGGAAGCCACAGAGAAAAAGGCCTGGAACAACCAAGGCCAGATTACAGGCAACAGTGGAATGACTTGATTCAACACAAGCACGCTTCTGGGAGCAGAATGGACTGAGGAGAGGTGAGGACGGGAAAGACCTGAGTCTCTGGGCCAAGCAGAGGCTTCTGCAACCATTCAGGCAAACATGGGGTGACAAGGACCCTGAGTGAGATGATGCTGAATCCCAACTGCTGGTTTGCTCAACTGGTACAGTTCACATCATTAAGTCCTAACAACTGTGAAGCTTGTGTCTCTACAGATAGCATGTGACTCCCCCCCGACCAAGTGTCCCTCTCCTTTCATATTGTGACTCTAGGCTGGGTGCAGTGGCTCCCGTGGCTCACGTGTGTAATCCCAGAACTTTGGAAGGGAAAGGTGGGAGGATCACTTGAACTCAGGAGTTTGAGACCAGCTTGGGCAACATAGCAAGACCTCATCTCTACTAAAAATCAAAAGAATTAGCCAAGCGTGGTGGCGTGTGCCTATAGCCCCAGCTACTTGGGAGGCTGAGGCAGGAGACTTATTTGAGCACAGGGGTTCAAGGCTACAGTGAGCTATGATCGCGCCCCTGCACTCCAGCCTAGACAACAGTGCGAGACTCTGTCTCAAAACCAAGTAACAAAAACAAAATGTAGCTTATTAAACTCAGCTTAGGTCATTTAAATTATTCAATACCCATATTAATATCTTCAAAGCAAACTAATTCCACTGTGGTTATAGCGAGTTAGGCATTTCTAGGCAAGTGGTTTGATTGGAGTCAGGATGTCCTCTTTTTGTGAAATTATGGCAGTAGTACCTGCTTTGCTAGGATACTTGATAAACGAATTTAATGAATATCTGTAAAGTACTTTGAGCTCCTTGGAGAACAGTTCCATATATAAAGAAGCCTTATGACCTGCCTGCAACTGTGGATTTGGCAAACGTAATCTTACTTTTTTTCCCTTTTGGGATATGCTCCCCTTTAAACTGAAGCTCAACCTCCTGAAGGGGGTTTCTTACTAGGAAAAATCAGACAATTTAAGGAAATAGCTATCACCTCCAAGATCCTGGAAGCAGTACTAAATAAAAGACCTCAGAACGAGGCAGTACTAGGTATCTCGCCTATCCCATTACCAGTTCAATTTTTCTCTCCACTTCAAGGAGGCTTCCAGGTGTAGCCTATAGAAAAGTTCACTTATTAACCCTCAGGCCGAGTACTACCTGCTAACCAGATAAACACACATTTCCTTCGTAGCACTGTAATTCACAGTGCAATGACAGCAATATGCCTCTATAACTACAGCTTCAGACTGTGCTCCTCGGTCTTAGAATAGGCTATCAACACTGACTCGTTAGGATGTTCAAAGGGGTATATGTATGTGTGCGGGGTGGGGGAGTCCTCGATACCGATTTCACCATGCTTCTGTGGTCACTGCAGGAAAAAGGTAGAGCTCTCTGCTCTCTATCGTCGCTCTCTTTGGAATATTATTCCCACTTCAAGCATTCTGCCTGAGCGAACCCGTCACTTCTTCAACACATGGTCGCAATTCTGAAGCTGCTAGGCGACTGAACGCAGTCGGCAGCACCCACCACTACCGGAGATTCAGCCCCAATCCGAAGCTTTTCCCTTAGTCAGGGGGCGCTAGGTTCCTGGAGTCACCGCCGGGCGGCGACCCCACCACAATCTCCCCAAAGCGCCGATGCATGTCAGCCCTAAGATCGTGGCTGTCGCCTTCCCCCGAGCCTGCGGTGCCCGACGGGACCCCGAGTTCACGCCGCCGCGCGCCAGAGCAAGAGGACGAGCCGCAGCTAGGGAAGCGGGGGCCGGGCTGGGGCCCCGGCGCCCTGATAGGGAAGGGGCGTGATAGCATGCTGCTCGCGGCGAGGGCGAGCCCGGGCGTGGGCTGCTAACAGGTGAAGCCGTGGAGCCCGAGGAGGGGACGTGGGGGTAAAGAGAGGGGCAGCCCAGAGGCTCGAGGGCAGCCAGAACCGGCCGCGGCTACTCACTCAGCCAGGACTCCAGGCTCTCCCCTTCCGCCTCCGCCATATTGCAGCCGCCCGGGCCGGCCCCGCGGCCTCAAAACTCGCGAGAGTCTGCACGAGCTGAGGCGGGGCGGGGCCTGCATGGGGGCCTGAGAGGAGTGAGTGCCATCACCGAGGGCCGCGCCAGAGTGCGACAGATATTGGGAGGGCAAGTGTTTCCTTTTGGCTCTTCCCTTTGGTCCCCAGAGTGAGAAACTCTAACGTCCAGATCAGTGGAGAGAAACGCAGATTTAGGACCCTGAGGAGTCTTTGTCACCCATTTCGCGTCATTCGCTCAGGCGCGCCGAGGGCAGTCCTTGTGGGGTCCTCGTGACCAGCCAAGATGGCTGCCCCCGCAGTGAAGGTTGCCCGAGGATGGTCGGGCCTGGCGTTGGGCGTGCGGCGGGCTGTCTTGCAGCTTCCAGGGTGAGAGGGCGGTGGGCAGCGGGGGGCGCCGCTTGGTTCTACACGAAGGGACCTGCGAGGAAGGAAGGGGGCCACAGGCAGGCCGCGTGGGGCCCTGCAGAGAGCATTGCCCTGGGGGCCGGAGTATCTGGATTCAAGCTTCTAAGTTAGCTGCGTGACCCTGGACCAATCTGAAGGTTTAGTGACTACCTCTCGCCTAAGGGGTCTGGCTGATCTAGGGTCTAACGCGGAGCTGAAAGTGCGGTTCAGCTAAAGAGCTCAGAGCTGGGATCGCCTGTGAATTGGGAAGGATATGTAGGCGCCAAGCCCATCCTTACCGTTAGCACTTGACTAGGAGGAGACTTGACCCGCCTGCTTGAGGGATGTCCTACTTCTTGGGACAAGGGCCTGAATTGTTGTGGCTCAGTTTTAGCTCGCAGTCTCCGCGCCGCTCTCCTTAGTCGGCAGGTTGGCAGCCATGCCTATTGTTAAGTCAAACCTACTCGCTTGTGGAGTCAGCTTTTGCCTGTCTCCTCCTCTTCCCCCTCCTAGGTTAACTCAGGTGAGGTGGAGCCGCTATAGTCCTGAATTCAAGGATCCCTTGATTGACAAGGAATATTATCGTAAGCCTGTGGAGGAGCTAACTGAGGAGGAGAAGTATGATCGGGAGCTCAGGAAGACTCAGCTCATCAAAGCTGCTCCAGCAGGGAAAACAAGTTCTGTGTTTGAAGACCCAGTCATCAGGTTAGATGGAAACAAACATTTGTTACATGGACTGGGACTATCCCAGGGAGGGTCTCTTGTGAGGATTCCGTGATACAGCCTTGGAGAGCTAAACATGTTGCTTTTCTTTTTGAAGTAAATTCACCAACATGATGATGAAAGGAGGAAACAAAGTACTGGCCAGATCCCTCGTGACTCAGGTAAACAGCACCTCCCTCCTCAGTCATCTTTCTTTGCCCCCCACCCCGTAGCCTTGTACTTGGTACTTTCAGTGTAGCTTAAGAGGAAATGGATTCATATACCTATTATTAAGATTAATTTCCCTGCATGTGTACGGGCTTTAAGGAAGCCCTGTAGGAGTCAACAACTGCCATTCCTTGGTGTTTCGGAAATAAACACACAATTACAAAAAAAGGGAAAATAAAACAACTGCCATTCCCCACCTCACTCACCCCCCCTCCACGCCACAAATCTCAGTCCACTCTTTTTGTCCTAGTCTAGCAAAGGGGGAGGCACTTAAAAACTTTGTTTTGGATGTGCTGTGAGAGGAGCTGCATTGCCATAGCAGAACCGGAGGATGGGAGTAAAGGGCAAGGTTCTAGCTTGGCTGGGTAAACCCTTTAGGGAGCCTGGGGCAGCCTCTTCCACTGTATTCTTTTGCAGACTCTGGAAGCTGTGAAAAGGAAGCAGTTTGAGAAGTACCATTCCGCTTCTGCAGAGGAACAGGCAACCATCGAACGCAACCCCTACACCATCTTCCACCAAGCACTGAAAAACTGTGAGCCTGTGATTGGGCTGGTACCCATCCTCAAGGGAGGCCATTTCTACCAGGTGAATGAATGGCCAGGGCAAGAAAGCAGGATCCCTCACATGTGAAACAAGATAGGTGGTACTTGGGAGTTGGGTTAAGATAGCTTTCTAGCTGGTGCAGTGGGATTGCACCTGTAATCTCAGCACTTTGGGAGCCTAATGCAGGATAGCTTGAGCTCAGGAGTTAGAGACCAGCAGGGCAACATAGGGAGACCCCATCTCTACAAAAAAAAAAAAAAAAATTAGCCAGCTGTGGTGGTGTGCACCTGTGCTCCCAACTACTCAGGAGGCTGAGGTAGGAGGATCACTTGAGTCCAGGAGGTTAAGGCTGCAGTGAGTTGTGATTGCGCCCTAAAGCTTGTCTCAGGAAAAAAAAAAAAAAAAAAAAGCAGCTGGGCATGGTGACTCATAGCTATAATCCCAGCACTTTGGGAGGTCAAGGCCGGTGGATTACCTGAGGTTGAGAGTTGGAGACCAACATGGAGAAACCCTGTTTCTACTAAAAATACAAAATTAGCCAGGTGTGGTGGCGCATGTCTGTAATCCCAGCTACTTGGGAGGCTGAAGCTAGAGAATCGCTTGAACCCAGGAGGTGGAGGTTACCGAGATCACGCCATTGCACTGCAGCCTGGCGACAGAGCAATACTCCGTCTCAAAAAAAAAAAAGAAAAGATTGAGACTGTCATGGTCCACTCGTCTGAGTCCTATAGCAGAAAAATTATAGGCAGAAGATGGAAGAGAGAAGAGAGCAAAAAGTACCTAAATAACATCTGGGAGCCCACCTCCCTTTACCTTCTTCTGTCAAGCATCCTGTGTGTCCTAACCTGTAAAATTCTCATGGTGAGGGACTATTCATATCCTATCTTCATATGCCAGTGTTTGCCATAGTGCTTGACCCATAACTGATGCTTCATCCGTGTTTGCTGAGCATTACTAGGTACCTCTTTCATAGCATTTAATTATATTGTATTGTCCTGAGTTTTCTTGTGTTCTCCTTTTTCAGTATCAACTCCATGGGGTAGGGACTTCTTCAGTATTGTCTGCACTCTCGTGTCTGGCATGGTACTGACACATAGTGAAGGCCTAGCAAATTATTTTTGGACAGGGGGTCTTGTTTTTTTGTTTTTCTTTTAACTTTCTTTTTTTTTTTTTGAGATGGAGTTTCACTCTTGCCCAGACTGGAGTGCAGTGGCGTAATCTCGGCTCTTGGCTCACTGCAGCCTTCGCATGCCAGGTTCAGGAGATTCTCCTGTCTCAGCCCCTGCACCCCACCCTCCACCACCGACCCCGAGTAGCTGGGATTACAGGTGGCCGCCACCATGCCAAGCTAATTTTTTTGTACTGTTAGTAGAGTATGTTTGTATTTTAGTAGAGGGTTTTGCTGTGTCTGAAGACTGAAGGGGTCTCGTTTTTAGGTACCTATGGTCTGAGGCAGATAAGTCACCCCAGCTAATAGGGCTTTTCCTGTTTGGTTCTTATAACAACTTGGTAGGACTACCATTTAGGAGGGAAAATGGCCAATGCTTTTCTTCTTTTTCTTTTTTTTTTTTCTTTGAGACGAAGTCTTGCTCTGTTACCCAGGCTGGAGTGCAGTGGTGCAATCTTGGCTCACTGCAACCTCTGTCTCCTGGGTTCAAGCAGTTCTACCTCAGCCTCCCAAGTAGCTGGGATTACAGGCGCCTGCCACTGCGCCCAGCTAACTTTTGCATTTTTAGTAGAGACGAGGTTTCACCACGTTGGCCAGACTAGTCTCGAACTTCTGACCTCAGGTAATCCGCCTGCCTCGGCCTCCCAAAGTGCTGGAATTACAGGCGTGCACCACCGCGCCTGGCCTTATTTTTCTTTTCGATATATGGAGACAAGGTCTTGTTATATTGACCAGCCTGGTCTTGAACTCCTGGGCTCAAGCAATCCTCCTGCCTCGGCCTCCCAAAGTGCTGGGATTACAGGTGTGAGCCACTGTGCCTGGAGAGGCCAGTGCTTAATGAGTGTTTGCTGAATGAACGCCTCTTATGTCTGCTGCACTGGGGTCACCTGAAGGTGAGGGAAGCTCAAAGAAGACAAGACAGGCCCTTCTCACCAGGCCTGACCAGGGCTGGTCCAGAGGGAACGTGTGGCTACTCCTTAGAATTCAGGGAGGCAGGAGGCCCCAAACCCTGGCAGACTCTTGGACCAACTTGCCTATGTCCTGTCTCCCCAGGTCCCTGTACCCCTACCCGACCAGCGCCGCCGCTTCCTAGCCATGAAGTGGATGATCACGGAGTGCCGGGAGAACAAGCACCGGCGGACACTGATGCCGGAGAAGCTGTCACACGAGCTGCTGGAGGCTTTCCATAACCGGGGCCCTGTGATCAAGAGGAAGCATGAAATGCACAAGATGGCAGAGGCCAACCGTGCCCTGGCCCACTACCGCTGGTGGTAGAGTCTCCAGGAGGAGCCCAGGGCCCTCTGCCGCAGCAAACAGTGTGAGCCACTGCCAGGCTGAAAGCTCCCTGTGGGTTAGGGATGTGGTTCCTTTGTAAGGGTGGGCAGGCCTCATGAGAAAGAGGGAGCAGCATGTTCACTATCCGCGAATCCTTCTTTCTTTGAGGCTGGAACTTGCTCTCTCTGCCCCCATTTCCTTATAAAGAGGGAGCACATTGACTTGGGAATTTCCTCCAGGAAACTCAGGGCCATCTTCTCTTCCCTTAGCTTGGGGTGGACCGTTGGATATAAAAGGAAGCAGTTTTAGTATTAGAAAAGATTTATTAGAAAATTCTCACGCTGAACTGGTGTAGCATGTGGTGCAGCATTCATTGAAACTGGCTGGAGGAAATAGGCTTGCTTCCAGAGTTGTCCTTGTACAAAATGTATAAAAAGCAGTTTCTGGTATGACTTGTGCTCTGCCTCCGCCCGTTGACATCCCAAAGCATCCCAATGGCTATGCTTACCCATTTTACAGATGGGTAAACTGAGGCACCAAGGTAGTAGTTGCACTAACGGTTACATAGTGCAGTGGCTCTTAGGAGTTGCTCTTCTCTGCCTGGCCCTGGTGGGAAGGTGGTGGGGAAAGGGGCTCAGGGCAGGACCATGGCATAAGTGGGAAACATCTCACCAGGAGATGGGAAAGTCTAGAAGGGAAGACACTCAAAGTCTGGAAGGGAAAAGTCTTTGGGTGAGGCAGAGACTCCACTGCCAGTTTCAGAGGTGTGTAGAAGAAAGGCCAGTGCTGGCAAGGAAGCCCTGATCTAGAGGCCTAGTCGGAGACTTCGCTGTAATAATACTTGTGAGCAGCTGGCGTCGTCTTCCAGCCGGCCGCCCGGAACTCAATGATCTCCAGCAGCAGCAGCTGGGCCAGGGAGCTGAGGCCAGTTGGGAGCAGGAAGCCATCCCGGATCAGCACAAAGAGCTCATCCATGCGCTGCCCATTCATTTTCTCCAGCTGCTCCCCGACCCGGTGCAGCTGTAGCACCAAACAGTCCACCTGCAGGGGACGGCGGGGGGTAACATGAGTGAACTGGGGCAGGGTCAGCCTGTCACACAGCATTTGCCAAGTGCCAGGTGCTGTGCCTTGCCTTTACACTCATTCCCTTGCTCCCTCCTCACCATCCAGTGGGTACTTCTTCAGCATTGAAGCAGAGCTATCACTAATGGTCTGAATTTGACTGGTTTTACAGCTCTGCAGTGTTAGTAGAGTTTTGCAGGAGCCAGCTGTGCTGTGCTGATGGTATCATTCTCTTACTCAAGCATTTTCAGTGGCTCCTAGCAGACTTCCACATCTTACACAGAAAGAAATGAGTTCCGGGACTTCCTGAGGTCCCTCGTCTGGCCAGGCTCCACTCAAGCCTGTCTCCAAACCACTCCTTCATCCCGCTCTCCTGCCTCCCTCACACCGCCTGACCCTGGTTTGGCTTTGGGGCCATCTGTACCCACAGCTAGCCATGGCTCGCACAGCTGCCATCAGAGGTTGGCTTTCTGACTGAGAAGGAAGCTGCTGAGCCAGTAGGTTTTGGCTGCTGTCTGTATTGGATAAATTCCAGACCTGGCAGCTTGTCCTGTAATTCTGACAGGCCTTAAACACCCCCACACTCCTGCCCCAGAAGTGACACCGTCCTCAAAGGCCTCCATGAGCAGTGAGCTGACACTCGGCTGAGCCAGACTGTCCATCCCGTAGCCTTCTGTGCTTGTACCGGGGCTGGGGCCACCCACCTCCTCCTCCTTGCTCAAACTGTCTGGCTGGGCCAGTCGGAAGAGGCAGTCATAGACAGGGTTCACCAGGGCCATCATGGGCATGTTGTTCACCTGTGAGGGAGAGGAGGGGTCAGAGCACCAGGCTTAGTGGCCAAGGGAAACAGTCCAACCTGGGCCTTGGGTGACAGGCCATGTCGCCTCCCAGGGTGGCTGCCGGGGCCTCACCCTCAGGTAGTCAAAGATGTTGCAGATAAAGGTGACATAGCAGACCCAGCCCTGCAGGGAGCGTGCTCGCAGCTGCTCCCGAGCCTGGTACTCCTGCTGCAGCCGGTTGAGGAGTCCACGCCGGAAGACACTCTGGCCTGCTTGTTTACTCTCTGCCTGTGAGCCAGGGAGAGGAAGGTGAAGGGTGGGGGGCGGTGCCCCTGCAACCCCACCCATCCTATGCCTCTTTATGTCTTTGAGCTAGACCCTGTGCATCTCTGTCCTGCAGGCCAGGCCTTCTGCCCACTCCTGAAGCACCTTCCTCAAAGCAGCTTCCTTTACTCTCCCGACCCCCAACCTGAATGATGGCGTAGCACATGCGTCCTGCTTCCTTGCTGAACACACAGTCCTGCAGAGAATGGTCCACAATGACATTGGCCACTTTCTCCAAGTCCACAGCACCCGGATCTAGGGGTAGAGATATGAGGGGAGTCTAGAGCTGCTGCTTTATCACATTTGCCTCCACCTGCTTCTAAGAACTTGAGATATTTAGAGTAGAGCACTCTCATATGCTTGAAGTGAAAGAGATCAGAAATCATACAGAGGACAGTGACTCCAGTGGTGCAATCAGCGCATGGTACTTACAAGAAATCATGGCCGAGGGGGGAGGGATTGCATTGGGAGTTATACCTGATGTAAATGACGAGTTGATGGGTGCTGACGAGTTGATGGGTGCAGTACACCAACATGGCACAAGTATACATATGTAACAAACCTGCACGTTATGCACATGTACCCTTGAACTTAAATTAAAAAAA